TGGGAAATTGTCCTGTAGTGCCCAGGGATGTGCAGGTTAGGGTGGGTGCGCCGTGGGAAATGCAGGGTAACAGGGACAGGGTCTGGGTGGGATGCTCTTCAGAGGTTTGGAGCAGGCACAATGGGCTGAATGGCCTCCTGCTGCACTGTGGGGATTCTATGAATCTGCTTTGAATTTATTGGTTAAGGTGAATATTAATTGTTAGTGCTCCCGGTGGAACTCCCTGTTCTTCTTCAACTGAGTCTTGGTTCAGCCTCTGACCTGACCAACAGCACCTCAGACTGAGCTGCTATCAGGCAGCGCTGCACTGGGCTTTCCAGCCAGGATTCTGCTCTCCCGTCTGGAGAGTGGGACTTGAACCCACCGTGCTCCGACTCTAAGAACAACAGGCAGCGGAAACCCACCACATCTCATCATGGCATCCTTTAATCTACTGTGTTCTCCTCTCCTCTCTGCTGGAGCTGTTTTCCTTTGCTTCGGTGTTGGTGTTCCTTGCTGGTGGTTTCTCTGAATAACCACTTGTCTTGCTGAAAGTTAATGTGTAAGACAAACCCCAGAACAAAACCGCGTGTCGTGTGTTTCTCTCCTGGAATACTGCAAATTTAAAACAAAAACACAAAGCTGGCAGTTTCTGAATTTGTTTAATTTATTTAGCAGGATGTGGGCATTACAGAATCGTTGGGATCTGTGATCCATCTCCAGTTGCCTCCCTGAGAAGTGGTATGATTGTCTTATTAAACTGCCTGTCGTGAATTTGATTGCTGGATCATCCCAGAGGGCCCATTGAGGGTTGGTTAATATCTGGAAGTTTCTGATAGTGGTGGGTAAGTTTTATGTCACAGCCCAGATCCTGTTTGTTTGATTTTTATCATCCAATGAGACCCATAAATAACAATACAGTAACAAATTATTAATCTGAATCAGTAATGTTGGTTGAGTCATTAAATATTGGCATTGCGAGCCACTCACTTAGTAAAACTGGAGACAGTCTGTCTTCTACACCCATTTATTTGCATATCATTGCTCACTATAATCTCCAGTTCACTCTCTGCTCCACCAAACCAACTGCCCAATTCTGAAAATAAACCCCATTAATTTCTTATTGCCGAAGATGCTTCATCACATGCCTGAAAGTAAGCTGTGGATATTTTCAAAGCAACCAGTTCAGAGACATTATGATGCACCTCAGGAGCAGGTGGGACTCGAACACACACCTCCTGGATCAGATGAAGCAACAGGAAGAACTGAAAATAAGCCCCCTTTTTTTAATCCAGCGATGCCTTCAAGCGCTGCGGGATGGTTTCTTTCCCACCTCCAAATTACCTGCCTTAGGTTTCTCTGTTATTCTCCACTACTAAAGCACCCACATTTCTGAACCAACTACCAATTGAAAATAGGCCGTTAAACTTACGTTCCAGGGAGGGTCAGCTGCTTTCACTGTTCCTGGACCATGTTTTGCCTCATTCTAAAAGGGCTACTATTTGGAACATTGTCAGCTGAGGGATCTTTCAGAGACGCACCTGAAGAAGCACATGGGGCGTCAGTTCAAAACTTATCCAGACAAGGGCCATCCTGACAACGCAGCACCCCCTCAGCACTGACCCTCCGAAAGAGCGGCGCTCCCTCAGCACTGACCCTCCGACAGTGTGGCGATCCATGCTGCTGACCCTCCAACAGTGCGGCACCCCCTCAGCACTGACCCTCTGACAGTGCGGCACTCCCTCAGCGCTGACCCTCCGACAGTGCGGCGCTCCCTCAGCACTGACCCTCCGACTGTGCGGCACTCCCTCAGCACTGACCCTCCGACAGTGCGGCCCTCCCTCTGACAATGTTGTACTTCCCTTAGTTCTGACATTTCAATAATGTGGAGCTCCCATGTCATTGCATTGGAATGAAGACTTAGACCAATGACCTTGTTATGTTGTGATGAGTATACTACTCAGTGAAACTGACGGGGTGGTGCTGAGTGTTGGACTGGGGGTGTACAAAGTCAGAAGTCACGCGAAATGAGATTATAGTCCAACAGGTTTATTTGAAATCACAAGCTTTCAGAGCACCTGATGAAGGAGCAGCACTCCAAAAGCTTGTGATTTCAAATAAACCTGTTGGACTATAACCTGGTGT